CATGGCCATGCACTTTTTGAACCAAAGCACCTCCAACTCCAAGGTGTTTTAATTCAAAAGTGTGCCACTGCCATTTTCTCAGTGCTGACATGCATTTTGCCACTTATACAACTGCAAGCATCGCAGCACAAGGGCACTTTTCAAAGCACCCAGTGCTGCGCTGCTAGCATATATAAATATGACCCTGATGTGCTGGAAGAATAGCAAATATCACAGGCAACCAGATTGGCTTAGCAGAGAATGCTTCAGTGAGCTTAAACACAAAAAGAAAGCTTACAAGAAATAGAAGCTTGGACAGATGACTTGGAATGAGTATAAGAATATTGCTCCAGCATGGATGAAATTAGGAAGGCCAAAGTGCAATTAGAGTTGCAGCTAGTAAGGGACAAGAAAGATAACAAGAAGGGTTTCTAAAAGTATGTTAGCAACAAGAGGAAGGTCAGGAAAAGTGTGGGTCCCTTGCCTTATGGGGGAGGCAACCTAGTGACAGATGATGAGGTAAAGGCTGAAGGACTCAATGTCTTTCTTAACTGGGTCTTCACAGGCAGGGTCAGCTCCCAGACTACTGCAGTGGCCAGCACAGTTTGGAGAGGAAGTGAGGAACCCTCAGTGATGAAAGAGCAGGTTAGAAACTATTTAGAAAAGCTGGATGTGTAAAAGTCCATGGGGCCAAATATAAGGCATCGAGGGTGTTGAGGGACTTGGCTGATGTTATTGCTGAGCCACTGGCCATTATCTTTGAAGACTCATGGTAATCATGGGAGGTCCTGGATGATTGGAAAAGAGCAAACATAGTGCCCATCTTTAAGAAAGAGAAGAAGGAAGATCCAGCGATCTACAGACCAGTCAGCCTCACCTCAGTCTCCAAAAAAATCAGGGAGCAAGACCTCAAGGAATCCATTTCTAAGCACTTGGAGAAGAAGAATCTGATCAGGAGGAGTCAGCATGGATTCACCATGTGTAAGTCATGCCTGACCAACCTGATTGCCTTCTATGATGAGATGACTGGCTCTGTGGATGCAGGAAAAGCAATGAATCTGATATACCTTAACGTTAGCAAGGCTTTTGATACAGTCTCCTGCAGCATTCTTGCAAGCAAGCTAAAGACATATGCTTTGGATGAATGGACTTTAAGGTGGATAGGAAACTGGCTGGATCATTGTGCTCAACAGGTAGTGGCCAATGGCTTTATGTCTAGTTGGCAGCTGTTATCAAGTGTAGTGCCCCAGAGGTTGGTCCTGGGGCCAGTTTTGTTCAATATCTTCATTAACGATCTAGAAGATAGGATGTAATGCACCCTCAGCAATGACAGATTTCATCTGTCATCAGTTTGCAGATGACACCAAGCTGGGGGGCATAGTAGATACATGGGAGGATAGGGCTAGGATTCAGAGTGACCTAGACAGATTGGAGGATTGGGCCAAAATAAATCTCATGAGATTTAACAAGGACAAGTGCCAAGTCCTGTATTTAGGACAGAAGAATCTCATGCACCACTACAGGCTTAGGACCAACCAGCTAAGCAACAGGTCCGTATAAAAGGACCTAGTGGTTACAGTGGACAATAAGATGGGTATGAGCCAACAGCATGCCTTTGCTGTCACAAAGGCTAACAGATATTAGACTGCATTGGTAGGAGTGTTGACAGCAGATTAAGGGAAGTAATTCTTCCCCTCTATTCGGTACTGGTGAGGACACATCTGCAGCACTGTGTCCAGTTTTGGGGCATCCACTATAAAAAAAGACATGGGCAAATTGAAGAGATTGTATCATATGGCAACAAAAATGGTTAGGGGTCTGGGGCACATGACTTATGAGGAGAGACTGAGGGAACTGGGTTTATTTAGTCTGAAGAAGAGAGGGCTGAAGGGGGATTTGATAGCCGCCTTTAGCTAACTGAAAGGGGTTCCAAATGGGATGGAGCTAGAACAGGGATGAGCAGTTATTTCAGCTGGAAGGCCAATTAAGGAATTTTGGGGACCTGTCGAGGGCCACATCCATCTCTGTCATGCTCTCTCTGTATCTCGTGCCCTGTCACTCTCTCTCCTCTCCTTTCTTCTCCTCTCCTCCCCCTCCCTCCAGAATCTAGCCAAAACTGCAGTTTGCCAGGAACCCTGATGCTCAGCTGTGAACCCAGGCAAAAGATGCTGCCATGCCAGGCAGGCTGCAGTGTCAGAAGCTGTCAGTAGTGTCACAGTAGATGCTGATAGTGATTCCCACATGACATGGCAGCAGCTCCTGCCTAGGTTCACAGCTGATCGTCAGAGTTCCTGGTCTAGAGGGAGGGGAAGGGAGGGAGAGAGAAGAGAAGAGAGAGACAGAGAGAGATGCTGCCTCCCACCTGGTCCAGCAGAAACTCTTGCCTCGGGCCACATCTGACACTGCTAAGAGGTTCTGTGCCAGGCTCTGAGCTTAAGCTTCCACTGCACCCAGAAGGCAGTGGGTCAGCTGTGGGCACCACTGGCAGGTTCTGCATATGAGCTCCTGAAACTGCCCTCAGCATCCACAGCTGATACCGCCACCCATCTGCTGTTGCAGAAGCCCTGTCTGGGGTCCACAGCTGATGCCTGATTCTGCTGGGCAGCCTTCCCACCCAGCATCACATGGCAGCCAGAGCTGTGGCTACCCACAGGCAAGATCTAGTGAGTTGGTGGCTGTCCACCCATGAGCCAGATTGAATCTGTCAGTAGGCC